ACTTCTTACAGGAAAGAGAGAAGCACCAATTATCATTCATCAATGAGCGTAAGAACTGCTGCGAGGTAATTGAGTCGACAATGTTGACTATTCCTGGAAGGAGTTTAAAGCTTTCAAGGCAAAAGTTTTGCCCTTCGAGCTACAGTTGAGTGGACAAAAGTTGTGCTTGTCTATTTAAGTTGTAAATTATGATGAATACTGATCCGACATTGCAACATGTAACGAAATGAGCTAGCTCTACCCCTATCTTTCTTTACAGAACAGCTAGGTAGCTGTGTTATTTGATCTTTCATATGTTTTTCTTCCATTTTGTCCTATTATTCTGGGAATGACGATGCTACCGATATTCTTGGCAGAGATGTTTTACAGGGATATTATGTTTGTCATACCTGTGTTATTATTTGTTCCATGTTTGGCTAATTTCATGTCAAAATGCGATGGCGAGTAGTATGGGATAAGTTGTGGAGGACACAAAAATGAGGAGTAGGTGGGCTGTGGTAATCAGTCCAGGATATTAGGCGTTTAATTTTATAAGAGGCCACTCTGTCAAGTAAAAGAAATTTAAAGTTAATGTGACTAGTATATATTTTAAAAATTAATTAAATTGGCTTGAACACCAAATACAATAATTAGTCTGACCTTAAAATCTTTCTCATAATCTGAAAGGTCTATGTAAATTATGTATATTATCAGACGAATTTTGTGGAAAACAAAAAGAAAAGGACGAGAAGAGAAAGAAAAAGGAACAAGATATGAGAAATTGGTGTGAATATTTATCTCTCGCTGAATACATAACAGTGAACTTCTCAAATTTACCACCACTGGATAATAATGCTCAACTATGGTAAACAATAATCAGGCAAATGTTTTATCTTATATAAGGGTAAAGTACCTTAATAGAACAGAAAATTGTATACAAGCGTGAACAGCATCAAGAGTAATAGCTAGGAACTTTTTATACAGTGAGCAGTTTGTTTGCTAAAATCAGCACAACTTTCTACAGGGATTTCCACTAATTCAAACACGCCTTAACAAAAAAGGAGTCATGTAACAAAAACTGGCAGAAGAAAACAATTGAAAATGGCATCCGAGGCATAATCAACAAGATGTTAACCTCTCTCTTTGGACATGTCAAAATGCATCCCACAATCTTGGTTCCTTTTTAAGTTTGAACTGTAGGTAAGCAGATACTTAGGCCATAGTGGAACCAATTTAGCAAGTTCCTAAAATTACATGGCCCCTTCTCATTGACCATTTTCAGATCTTTCCAATATAACCTCAATTACAAGTTCTTGATCCTCAATTCTTGAGACAAGCTCACAGGTGACGTATTGAAACAATCTCATCGTCTCAATCTTCTGACACTTTGGCCTTCTCCTCTGACTTCTCCTAGCCGTGATTTTGGAGCACTCCCCTGAATAATACTAGACCTTTCAGGAATTGTAGCACAAGGATCTCTCGAAGGCCAAGGTTGCTCCCACTGTCGGATTGGACTGGAACCAGAACTAGCTACTAGATGATCCTTAAGACCCTTCACTGCTTTAAGTCGATGTGCTTCATCCAAATAACTATATCTTTGTCCTAGTTTCTCGAGTTCATGAAGTCTTTCCATGTCTAATCTATCTCCTGACGTTGGAAGATTTGCAGCTTGATTTACATACTCAACAACTCCACCAGAAATGCTCCTTTGAATGGGAGTGCTTCTTCTCGGCTGCCCAGAGTTGGAGTTTCTTGCTCTTCTTTCGTCGACTGAAATTCGTTTTGACTCACGAACTATATCAGATGGATAAGCCCAATTGTAGCTCTTATTGGAATTGTCCATGTTTAGTTCAATTGAATGAAGGTCACTTTCTGTTGAGTCTTCCCCGCAGTCTGCAACATTCTCTACTTCTCCTCCATCATCTTCTTTTTCTTCATTCTGATGTAATAGAGCTTTACTCAAGGATGCTGTCACCTCTTCATTGTTTCTGAAATTTAGAGAACTATTTCCCCTACCTTTGGCCTTTTTCTTTCCCAGGAATCCTTCAAGCTGTTTCTTTAGCTTGTTAATAGCAGAATGTTTCTCCTCAAAATGATTCTTGGCCTCTGAGAGTTTTGAGTGAGCCCTTTCCTCGCGCAATCTGTCAGCTAACTGGAGCATCTCTCTTTCCTGTTCAATCTCTTCTTGAACTTTTGCAGATTCCTTCTTCATCTCTTCTACTTCAACTCTGTCTTCACCAATGTCTCTAGCTAATTCGTCGCATACCTGTTCCATTACTTCTCTGGCTCTCTTCTCGCTTTCAAGTTCTTTCACTGTCTTCATGAATGATGCTTTTGTATCCAACAACTCTTTGCCGAGTTTTTTGTTCAAGTTCTCAAATCTCCGCCTTAGCTTTCTCTCAACCTCAAGTTCATTTGCAACTGATTCAATTGCAGCCTCAACAACCTGTTGCTCTTTGTTTTTCCAAGCCGCTTTCTCTTCAGCAAAGCATTTAAGGAGATAATTAATCTCATTTTGATCTGAACGCTGTTCTTGAATAAGCTGATTCACCTGTAGGCGGGCCCTTTCAAGCTCAGCATGTAATGCTGAGACAAGAGACATGCTAGATGAAGGTTGATCAGCGTGTGCCCAAATTCGATTGATTATTTTTAGAAGCTCTTTGGATGTTGTCAAAGCGTTACTAACATCCTTCAGACGGCTGCCAAAACCAGCCACTGATCCCCGTGGAGTCTGGGCACGAGACCTGGTCTCAAGCTGCATTACAGATTGATATAAATCATCACTCTTTTTTAGCAACCTAAGTGTTCATAGCCAGTCAATGCATTTCAAATCAACCCTTATAGGACCTAACCATTGATTTCCATGTTTACTTGCACAAACACGAAGAGACAGTGCGTGACAATATGGTAAAGTCAATATTAACAAAATTGCATGCTAATGAAGTTAAAGGACATAAAGAACAATAAAACATCAATAAAATTCATCGACAGGAAGGATTTGGTTGCCACCTCCATTAAACTGGCGCTGCTTAAAGTATCTAACATTCCAACATTATGGTCCGTAGTCCTTTGGTGTCTACGAGAAGTTGTTGATGCCCTCTTCTGAAAGCTTCCTGTTCCAGATCGATCCATCCTCTGCACAATCAACGTAAGGAAGTATGGATTACCAAGAATGAACTTAAATAACTACGATGACCCAACTTGTCACTATGCATACAAAATGAGTGCGATATACCCCATCAAATAGAAAAGAAAACGCATATCATCTCTGAAACTGCTTGTCAATGCCAAGACCTTTTTCTCATTCAGTAAATAGGTAGTAGCTTGTTAAGGTCAAATCTTGTAAAGTCAGTAATAATAAGACAAATATTAACACAACCCCAAAACCTCCAAAGATGATGTCAAACTGTCAAGCAGCAACTCTTACATTATCAACAAAGCAAGCAAGTCAATTGTATAAATTCATTTTAATTCTATTTCTATGAGCAAGATAATAAAGAGAATGAGAATGTCACTTTCACCATATATAACTTACAATCAATCATATATTGTTATTTGGGAATTATTATAAATAAATACTACTACAAATATTTGAGAATTTGACTTATTATACACATCAAAAACGTCATTTTCTCTAGATTTCCAACAACCACAAGAAACTAATCAAATTCAATTCACCAAAATATAGTTCCTACATCACAGACGCAATACTTTCCAAACTTTCAATCTAAAATTAAGTTTCAGAATATAACATATCCAGTGTAGTGTATATGCAGACCTTAGTACTACCTGATAAGTTAGAGTAGTAGAGAGGCCGTTTCTGGCAGACACTCGGCAAAATATAACATAAAAGAGCACAGAGTATAAGAGTAAACTGACCTCAGAAATCGGGCTATGAGATGGATCACACAAATGGGGAGGCAAATCGCCCAAAACAGAACCCGAGCCCGTATGAAGGGCCCGCAATTTCTCCTTCTTCAGCATCATCATCTTCTTTTTTCCCAAGTCCTCTGTCATTTTAGGTGAAGGCATTTCATTCATTTCCCACAATGTGGCAGCCAATTTTCTAGCTGAAACAGGCTGTGATATCCCACCAACTGACTGTTTTGGTGACTCAACAACATTTCTCAATGGAGTAGCCCTCCAGCTTGGCACTGGTGTACTGGATCTGGACCCTCTAAGCCCGGGCCCGAGCCCGTTTCTACCTTTTCCAACTAAAATAGCCCGCTTAAANGGGAGGGGGGAGGGGGGAGGGGAGAGGAAAAGGAGGGTGGAAGAAAAGGAGAGTTCACTGTGCATGTGAGGCTAAGAACGTGCAAAGGAATTATTGGTGTTTCACTACTATCAATATTCTGATACAGTAGCTTTTGCTGCTGTGGCTCAAAGAAAGAATGTTTTTTCTTTCTGTTTATTTTTAGTAGTAAGTACTTATTAGGTTTTGGCTCTGTGATGATCCGAACTGTAGCACTGTGATCTTTCTCTCCTTTTTTCTTTTGTTGTGCCTTTGTCTGCTTACCTGTATTCCTTTCAATGGTTGCTCTGCTGTGTTGTGCTTTGATGATCAGTTTGTTTTTCTTGTCATTTTATGTGTGCCCATTTTTTATATTTTCATTTACTTCATTATTGGTTGCAACTTACGTACTTCAAAATTCTTCGTTTGGTGGAGTTATTACTTCTTGGCAGTTGGCAGCTATCTCATTCTAACTTTGTTCAAACCTCGGTGTATTTTTGCTATTGAAAAATTTCTAACTAGTACCTACAACCTCCTTGTCGTATGGTTCTTTTCGTGGTTTTGGCATTTCTCTATCTATTTTTTTAATACAAATTTGGAGATGGTCATGCGGTCAATGGGGTGCCCGACACATATATTGAATGAAATTACAACACGTTGCTTTTTCAAAAAGGTACAAGCTTGACCAGCTACAGCCTAACAGGGTTGTAGAAAAGTGAAAAAACATCAGTGGAGTGGGGTAATGAATAATGATGATCAAGAAAGATTCGATGAATTTAAGATGTAAGTCATTCTGGTTTTTGTTCTTAAACGTATTGATTTGGTGTATATAAGAATTGTTCATACACAGATTCTTTATCAAGGCTTTCTCAATCCCTATCTTATTCATCAAATGCAAGGAAAAGAATAGAGAAAAGGAAAGGAGAAAATCTTTTTAAATATATGCTAATACTTCTTTATTCAGCTTTTATTTTTCCTTTTTTCTTATTTTAAAACAAATTATGTGAGTAGCATTAAACAATGGAATAATTGATATGAGTCTTTCAAGTTTGATTGGAGATCGTATGACAACATCGACATATATGTTAAACTTTTGTAAACAATAGGAATACTATAAGTTGAAAGAGTTTAAATTTTATGTATCATGCCATCAACAAAGTAAAACACATACATTATCTGATTATTTATAAGGTAATTTAAAATATTTTGCAATTTGAGTACATATAACTTTTGAGAAAAAGATTATACATATCTTAAATGCATAAAATAAAACATCGAAAATAGGGGAAGGAATCGAGATATAGTAAAAAATGATTAAACGGTCATTTATGTCTGGGTAGATTTAGAATAGCTCCTTGAGTATAATATCTTAAGCATATTTGATCAAATTTTGTTTCCGAGAAATAGTTAACAAATTGTAACTACAAAAATATAAAGATTTAATGGGAATTCACATTTAGAGATGCAGCTTTTGCAATTTTTTCCATTTTTGGTCTATTTCTGGTGTCGCAACTTTTGAGGTGCAAATTTTGTTTATTTTGGTCTATTTCTAATGTCTGTTGTAATTTTTGTGTTGTAATTTTTAGCATTCGACGGGAATTTCCTAGCATTTCTAGTTAAAGTGCTCAGTTTTGATAAACTTAAAATACCGAAACTACTCAAAAATAAACTTAAGAGACTATTTTGAACTTACCCACAAACATAATTACCATTTTTGTCATTTTCTCAAGAAGTAGTATAAGGGGTCCCAAGTTTTTAAGTTTCACCAATTCAATCTGAACGTCAGCATTCTCCCGAACACAGAAGAAGATGGTAGTTTGGTCTTACCCACCAACACTGAAACAGCTCAAACTCATTTGTATGGGTAATAATCTTTTTCCTTCTACAGTTTTTTGAATTGGTGCATTTATACTTTTATATATGAATCTTTATTTCATTTCCCCTTTATTACATTTTTCATGTTGTTTTTCTGCTTTAGTTCATGCTTTTCTTCATAATCGCTGAAAAAGAATCAANGATGTTGTGCCTTTGGAAATAAAGAGGAGAGTGTTAGTAATTAGTGGAAGTTATATAAAAAAAAAGTAGCAAGGCTTATTATTATTGAAAGACTTGCTAATTGAAAATGTAGGGGAGGAGGATCCAAATTAATTAATAAAGAAAGAAAGAGAACATGTTGCTGTTAGGAGGAATATATCCCAAGTTCTTTTCAGTTGCTGCAAATCATTTAGCCAGTCAATTAACAGAGAAGCAAAAATAAAATAAAATGATAAAGTACGCAGATTAAATTAAAAAGAAGAAGTATTTGGTTGCTACTGTTTTGCGGAATTGTGCATCCAATAGCCAGGACTAATTACAATTATAAAGTAGTAATATTCCATCGTGATGCTTAGATTATATCAGCTAATTGCTACTTACTGCAACAAGTTAAGGTGAGTGGGTAGTATGAAGTTTTAAAATGCACAAGAGGAAAGATAATTTTATTCATGAACGACAAGCTCTTTATATAGAGCAGATACAAACGAAAATACATTAAAGGTGGAACAAACTGATATGATAAGATTCTGTGCAGTAGGATACACTAGAATACAAGAAACTAACAAAATCCTAAACTTAGAAAATAGGAAGCTAATAACAAACTCCTAAACTGAAGGATATCAATTATTATCCTTTAATACGCCCCCGTAAGTTGGGGGTGACTGGAACAAGCCCCAACTTGTGAAAATTGCGCAGAAAAGTGGTACGCGGAAGAGGCTTCGTGAGGATGTCGGCAACTTCATCAGAGAGTGAAGGTGACGAACCTCAAGTGCTTTTTGTTGAACTTGCTCGTGAACAAAATGGAAGTCAATAGCTACATGTTTCATCCTACTGTGAAAAACTGGATTAGCACAAATGTAGGTGGTACTAACGTTGCCACAGAGGACTGTTAGTGGAGCAGACAATGGGAAATGAAGCTCATGGAGCAAATTCGTGAGCCAATTGACTTCAAAAACAACAACTGCAACAACTCGGTACTCAGCTTCCGTGGATGAGCGTGAAACAGACCTTTGCTTTTTGGAAGACCAAGAGATTGGTGAGTTCCCAAGGTAAACAACATGACATGTTGTTGATGTTATGTCTTATGAATTTCCAGCTCAATCAGAGTCAGAATAAGCAAGTAAACGATCTGTTGGTTGTCGACATAGCTTAACTCCCATTGTGCTGGTGTGTTTTAGGTAGCGCAACAAACGTTTGAAGCTTTCCAGTGAGACACTTTTGGATAATGCATAAACTGAGACAACTTGCTGACAGCAAACCCGATGTCAAGGCTAGTGAAGGATAGGTAGTGAAGCTTACCAATGATTCTTCTGTAAAGTGAAATGTCAACAGCAAGTCGGCTTCAGAATCAGTGAAGGAGTAGGTTGATGTCATCGGTGTTGGGACACCCTTGCATTCAGCCATGTGCAATTCATCCAGAAGATCCATGACATATTTGTGTTGAGACAAATATATGGCAGTTGGCATTGATATTACTTCAACACCCAAAAAATAATGCAAGAGCCCAAGATCTTTTAGAGAGAATCGTTGAGAAAGAGTATCAATGATGGACCTGACACTTCTTCCAATATTACCCGTAATAATTATGTCATCAACATATATGAGAGTGTAGACAGTAACCTCTACAATGTGAAGGATAAACAAAGATGAGTCAGATTTGGATTTAACAAACCCAATACTTCTCAAATAGTTGGTGAGCTCGGTGTACCACGCCCTAGGAGCCTGCTTAAGTCCGTATATTGCTTTTTTAGCTTGCAAACATATGTTGGACGTTCAGAAGACTCGAAACCAGGAGGTTGTTTCATGTACACTTCTTCTTCAAATCTGCCTTGTAAGAAGGCATTATTGACATCCAACTGATGAATAGGCCATGAGCGTTGGACAGCAATTGCAAGGACCAAACAGACTATTGCGGGCTTGACAACGGGGCTGAATGTAGAATGATAATCCAACCCAGGCCTTTGCGTGAAACCTTTGGCTACTAGGCGAGCCTTATACCTATCAATGCTTCCATCAGGTTTATGTTTAACTCTAAACAACCACTTACAATCTACAACATTCCGAGAGGGATCACTTGGAACCAAATCCCACGTCTGATTTCTGATTAGAGCATCATATTCTGCTTTCATCGCTTCTTTCCAATGGGAGTATAGTTGTGCTTGACGGTAGGAGCGGGGGATTGGTGGTGAGAGGTTGGTTTTGGCAAGAAAAGTCTTGGGTTTCAGGCTATTTGTTTTTGATCGGGTAACCATTGGTTGAGGAGGGTGGCTTGTTTTGGTTGCGATGGAGGAGAAAGAACGTGTTGGGGTTGGGATTCTATGGGTGGATGTGGTTGAGGGGCTTGGAAAATGTGGTAACTTTAGAGGTCCGACGGCTATAGGTTTGAATAATGGGTGGTTTACTTTTTGCCGCATGAGGAGGGAGGATGGGTTGAGTAGGGGAGGAATAATCAGAGTTGCTAGTTGGATTGTTGGGATAAGGAGGAGAATTACTTGAGCTCTGTGACGCTGCTGGAGAAGGAACATAGCAAGACTTTTGTATACACGTAGACAACGACAAAGGTAGTTCAAAATAATGTGACTCTGTTGGGATATCTGTGTGTGTGCCATTTGGTGAAGATACGTCATCCCAAGTAATTTTAAATTCAGATTTTTATAATTAGAGAAAATATTGGCAAAAGGATAATTATTTTCAGCAAATACTATATCTCTCGAAAGATAAACTTTGGAGGTGGTTGGGTCAAAACATTGATGGCAATAATATTTATTTGAAAATCCCAAATAAACACAGGGCTTTGATTTTGAATCAAGCTTATTTAGTGAATACGGTTTTAGCCACGGATAACATAAACAACCAAAAATTTTGATGTTTTCATAATTTGGTGATTCTTGAAATAAAATCTCATATGGAGACTTATCTTTTAAAATTGGAGTTATCATTCTGTTAATGAGAAAAACAGCTTGATGACATGCAAAACTCCAAAATGTGGCTGGTAATGAAGCTTGATGCATTAGAGTTTTGGTAGTCTGAGTGTTAAAAATAGCGTGAAGTGAGGAAAAGCGACAACCCCCATTTCACGAAAAGCGAGAAGGGAGAAGCAAAGCGCTCGCTTTTTTTAAGTGAAGCGGAATTTAAAAAAAAAATTTAAAATAAATATGGTATATACAACACATGTAATTGGGCAGAAACTGGGCAGAATTTTTCTGAAAAATATTTGCCAGCATTTCGGCGCTTTTTGGACGTTTAGAAAGAAAAAAAAAAGAAAAAGAAGAATAAGAATAAGAAGAAGAAGAAAAAGAATGAAAATAAATCTGGAAAATATACCTGTTGAAACTAAGTTGCTGTTGTATTGTTGAGGTCTTGAAGAAGAAGAAGAAGAACCCTAGTTTGCTTGAACAAATCGCTGCTTGAAGTGAGGAAGAAATCGTTGGTTTGAAGAACCCTAGTTTGCTGCTGAAGAAGTCGAAGAAGTGCTAAAACAGAAACAGCGATTTAGGTCTTTTAATTGAAAAAAGACTTTGGGTCTTTTAATTGAAAAATCGTCCGCTTTGATCGCTTCTGGGCGCTTCACCGCTTCTCGCTTTTTAGGGAGAAGCGGTCGCTTATGCATACCTGAGCCGCCTTTAATGGCAGTAGTGATACCCCTCCCGCTCCGCTTCGCTTCTCGCTTAAAGCAAGGAAGCGCCCGCTTTTTTTAACACTGGGTAGTCTCGACGACATGGCGACGACGTCGTTCTACCATAGCAATTCTTTGTGGAGTATAAGGTGGGGAAATTAAGTGTTCGATGCCTTGTGATTTTAAATATGAAGTTAAGCTTTGAAATTCACCTCCTCCATCAGTGTAAAAGGATAGTATTTTTGTTTGATACCGACATTCGAGCAAAGGATGTAGTGTTTTGAAAGCATCTAAAACCTCATTTTGGTCTGTATTGTTTGCAGCCACATGTACTTTGAAAATTGATTGACGAATAAACATAATATTTTTTCTATCAATAGACAAAACTGGTGAAGGCCCCACGAATCACTATAAATAATTTGTAGCGGCCTTTGACTCTGCAAAGAACTTGTCGAAAAAGATTGCCTGTGGCTTTTATTTGATTGGCATGAATTACAAATCGAAAGAGAGTCTTTCATAACTGGAATGGAAAACCTTTTCAAAAATATATCTAAATTACGGCGTGTTGGATGCCCAAACGCCGATGCCACAAATCTAAACACATAGCCACATTGCATTGCGGTTGAGAAGAAGCGTTGTCTAGCGGCCATTCATAAAGTCGTCCTCTACTCCGTCCTTGAACCAGCGGCGCCTCCGTACTCAGATCCTTCACAAGATAAGAGAATGGAAAGAATTCAATGGATGTTTTATTGTCACAACAAAATTGGGAAACTGAAATTATGTTGTTGGCAATTGAAGGGGAGCAAAGGATATTAGATAACTGAAAGCGAGAATTAGATGCATATAAATCAGTGTTACCAGTGTGAGAAATTGGTATGGTGTTACCATTTCCCATAGCAATCTCTTTTAGACCATTGTAGTCATTAATGTTTGTAAGACTTAGGGCATCCGATGCAACATGGTGTGTAGCCCCTGTATTGACTATCCACGAAGCAGGTTGTTGCGTTTGTCGTCCAGCAAAGTTAGCTCGTGCCTGAAAATGATTATGAGACTGAGAGCGGCAAACTCGAGCAGAGTGTCCAATGCGGTCACATAACTGGCACACTAAGTTGTTGTCTTGCTAATTGGCACGACGATTGCGCCATGGCTGAGAACAATGCTGCTGGTAGTTATTTTGACGCCTGTTGATGTTGTTGGTCCTTGTTTGAGAGCTGGTCTTTTGAGCAACAACCGCAGTGATTGTGGTGGAAGTGTGAGGCAGAGCATTGTGTTTGAGAAAAAGCTCATTGTCAATAAGCTTTTCAAATAGTTCTTCATATGAGATAGGTGTGTCACATGCTTGAATTGCTCCTGAGATTTCTCGATATTCTGGTCCAAGCCCAGTGAGAATGACAATTAGTTCAGCGTTGGTGACAGGTGCTCCTGCAGTCGCAAGTTCATCGCAGAGAGAACGAACTTGATTGAGATAGTCCGTGACAGGAAGGTTTTCTTTGGTGAGACGAGCAAGGCGATCTCGCAAGTTGAATACGCGAGTTTGAGACTTATTGGCATAAGCAGTATGGAGGGAATCCCATGCTGCTTTGGCAGTGGCTGCAACAGCTACAGTGGCAGCAAGAGTTGGATCAACTAACGCTAAAATAACGTTTTGGATCACCTGGTCCTGACGAAACCAATTAAGATAATTGGGGTTGGCAATTGTCTGGTTGTTTGTGGTGGTGGTCTGGACAGGAGAAGTGATAGTCCCATCTAGATGGCCATAGAGATTGTGTCCTCTCATGAGCATGGACACTTGTGCCTTCCAGAGGGAGAAGTTATGGCTGCCAGCAAGTTTGATCGGAAGTTGGGTAACTGGGTTGAATTGAACAATAGAGGTGGTGCTTGTTGCATCAGAATTGGTAATAGAGGGTGCCATTGATACCATATGAAGTTTTAAAATGCACAAGAGGAAAGATAATTTTATTCATGAAGAACAAAGCAAATACAAACGGAAATACATTAAAGGTGGAACAAACTGATATGATAAGATTCTGTGCAGTAGGATACACTAGAATACAGGAAACTAACAAAATCCTAAACCTAGAAAATAGGAAGCTAATAACAAACTCCTAAACTGAAGGATATCAATTGTTATCCTTTAATAGGTAGTTGTCCTCCATAAGCTTCAGCAACAGAATATTTTATCTTGACAATATGAGCAATTTTTTCTAGCCAAGAAATTTCGTTGTTGATGTTAATGTCAATGTTGTAACTTGTGTATTTTCATTTCAGTAGGTTGTAACTTGCGAATGTTCATGAACAAATGGTCTTTGTTTCATTCTGTGTGACAATACATACTGTGGTATGAAATGCTGCCTTGTTTGTGAGTTATCATCAACAGCAACAACTAGCCGTTACTCGCTGCCAGCTTTGGAGGGTAAATTTATGAACTTAGTCTGTGCCGAAGAATAAAAGGCTGACTAAACTTGCGTCAGCTTTAATTTAGTTCCCTAAACTTCATTTCTGCTTACTGAACCATAAAAGTTTAGAGGCAAGGGCCATCGACATAGGCACCTTGTAATTAGCTATCAGCAAACTACACATATTTAAATTGCTGTCTAAACATTTAGTTTGGATGACAAATCTGTGGCATAGATTTTTTTTTTTTTTTTTTTTTTTTGATGAAGTAAGTGAATATTATTAACAAAAGGCATCAAGAAGATGCAGATGTTACAAACAAACAGAAAGTATCGGCCCAAAAATATCAACAAAAGATCTATCATAAGACTAAGGAGCTGATAAATTCCAAAAAGGATTCAGGGTATAAACAAGGGTAAGATTAACCCAGCTAAAAAGATTAACTAAACATTTGGCTTTAAGAGAATGATTGGCAGTTGAGACCTCATCAAAGCATCTCTGATTCCTTTCGGTCCATATACACCACAAAATACAAGCAGGAACCATAGCCCAGATCCTTTTGATGGTTTTATCAACTTTCCATGAGCACCAACTCACAAAAGCCTCCCTGACACTACATGGCATAGACCAATGTAGACCAAAAAGAGTTAGGAACATATTCCACATTTCTGTTGCAACTGAGCAATGAAGAAACAAATGATTATTGGTTAGCTGGGACTAAGAAGGGATAGGATTTGATTAGCGCGCTTTCCGCCTGTCCTTTCCTTACTCTGTCTATGGTATGCCTGAGATGACAGTCTTTCTCCTTGGCTTGTACTCGAGATCCGATGACACTGCATGGCATAGACCAATGCAGACCAAAAAGAGTTAGGAACATGTTCCACATTTCTGTTGCAACTGAGCAATGAAGAAACAAATGATTAATTGACTGAGACTTGCAGAGGCACATGTAACACCTATTAGGTAGCTGAAAATTTCTCCTGATGAGATTGTCTTGTGTTAAGCAAGAGCCCTTTAGAGTAATCCAGCTAAAACAGATAACTTTTGGTGGCAGCTTAGTTCTCCAGATTAATTTCCAAGGCCATTGATCAATCCTTTCTTCATTGGAGCTCAAGTGGGAGGAGCCTGCTTTAACGGAGTAAGTGCCCTCTTTGTTGTTGCCCCATTTAAGGCTGGCTCTTCCCTGGCTGGCGACTATGTTGTTACGCAGGCTTCCAAGAAGTGAAGCCAGATCTTCTATCTCCCAATCATTAAGATCTCTTCTTAGGTTTAGATTTCATGTATTGTCCTCCCTGTTTTGAGCAATAGTAGAGTCTGGATTGGTTGCAATTAGGAATAATCTTGGGTAGACCTCCTTTAGTGTAGTGTGCCCCAACCATTTGTCCTTCCAAAATTGGATGTGTGAACCATTTCCCACTTGCAGTGACGTGTTTCTTGAGAAATCCTCCCAAAGTTTCATGATATTCTTCCACAGCCCAGTTCCATATGGTGTTCTAACCATATTAGTGCACCAGTGACTAGAAGTCCCATACTTTGCTTGGATGATCTCTTTCCAGAACCCAGCTTCCTCCTGGTTATACCTCCAGTGCCACTTCATAAGCATGCTTTTGTTGTGAAGTGCCGGATCTTTAACTCCAAGGCCCCCAAGTGTTTTGGGCATTGTAACTTTGGACCATTTGACTAAGTGAAACTTATGCTCTTTACTGTTGCCCTCCCATAGGAAAGATCTTCTGAATTTGTCTAGTTGTTTTTGCACTTTGATTGGGATTGGGAATAGGGACATAAAATAGGTAGGTATACTATCCAAAACACTACTGATGAGTGTTAATCTACCCCCAAAAGAAAGGTACTGTTGCTGCCATGATGCCAATCTTTTCTCAAACTTTTCAATGATCACATTCCAAATATCAGTTGCCCTGTGTCTAGCACCCAAGGGGAGACCTAAGTAGGTAGTAGGAAATGATCCTGTGGTGCAGAACATAATATCAGCGAGCTCCTCCAAGTGAGGTACCATATTAACAGGATAAATGATACTCTTGGACATGTTAATGTGAAGTCCTGAAATAGCTTCAAAAATCATCAGAGTAAGATTGAGATATTGCACTTGAGTTTTTTCTGCATCACAGAAAATAAGGGTGTCATCTGCAAATAAGAGGTGGGATACGGAGATTGATGTGCCTGAGATGTTCCCCACTTCAAAACCTTTCAACCATTGCAATTGCTTGGCCTTTTCTAGCATTCTTACTCACTGGTAAGGAATTGAGTGGGATGATGGATTAACGGAAATGTGGATGGTTCATAGGTTTGGTATTTGCTATTGGAAAAGCATAAAATTTGGTTAAATTCCTTCATTTGTTTTTTCTTTTTTCATAGTTCAATGTGTGGCCTGGAGATACGGTCAAATTTCAGGAGGGTACTTCGTGTATAGTAATACTTGCTGCTTCTCTCCTTTTCTTTTGATAGGTAAACATCCTGCTTCCCTTTCATCTGCTTAAACAGCACTTGACAAAAATATTGCTTTGAATATGGACTCTTTTTTATTATTATCTGACTATCTATTTAGGTCATTCGAAATTGGTCATTGTCGCTGCAAGTCCGACAAACATAAGCTAATTTGACAATCTCAAAGAAAATGAATCTAAATGAAAAGATTGAAAACCTTCATTAAAAAAGAGACAAAACCTTCAATAAAGGATAAAAACGATAGAAGAAAACAAACAAACTAGATAAGTTCTGGATACCAATATAGCGGAAAGCAAAATGCTAGCGGAACCTAGAGAGAGAGAGCATGTTAATTTAATTTTTGATCTTAGCATGTTAATTTAATTTTTGATCTTAGCAGGCTAATTCATTGTGGATCATCTAGATTTGATGGATATTACCTCACTTTTCCATGAAATGGATAGTAGCAGAACATTGATAACCAGCTGCTTGAATTACTGAGAGCTAGTAGTAGTTAGTATTTGTCATGTTATTTGAAACAGTAAGGACGCCCCATGGGATGTGTGTGGACGCCGCATGGGATGGGATGCACATCAGAGTTCGAACCCTGAAACCTGATACTAACATGGGAGTAGGATAGAGAGGGTGCGCTCATACTCCCCTGAGTTTCAAACCTGTGGGCCGGCTGGAGTTGCGGCTAAGCTAACTCACAGGGATTTCTCAGTTATCAGGAAAACATACTGCTGTGGATGTACTACTAAATGTTTACAATGTAACAAACACGAATTAGACAACTGAAATGTAGTAAGGAATGCTGCTAATTTCTGAAAAGGCGAAGAATAGCCTGGTGCATAATGATCTGCTGATTTTCTATTTTCTGATATATGAAATAAAGTATCAGACTTTAGTTCAACGTAAGTTCGAGGAAGATAGAAAAGTACTCCAAATTATGGGGATGAGTGGTTGACCCCAGGTCAGTAACAAACACTCTCATAACACGCTTCTTTAATGCTCGGGTGAAGATAGGAATAGCCTTCTGGTGTCATGAACGAAAACATTCCACCAACTCTACCCTTGCAGATATTACGTTTCCTGCTTGGCCGCCATCTTCAAATCGAACATAGACAACCTGTACGTATTAGAAACTAACAGAAAAGCATTGGCCTTATCATATTCTGAATAACCCAGCCATTATTTTAATTTGGGTATAAGAACTAATACTGTAGGCTCTAGAGGATCAGTTTCTGGGGGAACTAGATGGATTGCAAGACTCGCCACAGAAACACAAAAGATTAGGTCTCTAGTTTTATGTAGGGTAGCTGCATGTCCCCGGCATTCTTGTTGTAAACTTCCTGAGTTGGCCATAGTAGGACCAGGTATTGAACCAATAAAAACAATCAGCGTATATGTACTTGAAACCCATCTAGTGTCCCTTCCTCTATCTTAGTAGAGGCACCATATTAGCCTTCTTCAGGTTGAAAGACAAGCTCACTGCCACTTCAGCTCGCAGAGTAGAATTACCCAAATCAGTTCAGCTGGACTTAGAATTGATAGGAATTCTTTCCTTCTTGTCAGGTTTAGAGGGGCTAAATAAATTTTTGAAGTACTTCACTTATTAATATCTTGAATTGAATGATTTTCCAAAGGGACAATACGGAGTTAGAGGCTATATAAGAGCAGCTTGATCGAGATGACTTGCCAAATAGGGAACTTGAAAACACTGTGGCCAAGAGAAGGGAAAAGCTAGTCAACCTTGAAAGAGTTAGAAGTTAAAGTGTACTGAGAAAAAAAGTTCTTCAGCTTATTGAGAAAAAATAAATTCAAAGAACAAAGCTATCTCTCTAATAGTCCATCAAACAGGAGGGCGAAGGCTTTTAGAAAAAGTATTTATAGTGTTTAAGTCAGAGGATTTGGTAGAGGCGGGTGCATGAGTTAATAGTGCTACTAACAGCTCCTATATGATGAGGTTTGGTGTGGAGGAAATATTAATAGAGTTACTACAGATTAATTCATACGGTAAAGTTTTAATTGTTGCAATTGAGGTTACTACAAATCTAATCAGTGTATAATCGTAATGAATAATTTTGTTATTGCTATTGACTAATCAGTGTATGCCGTCAAATTTTTTACCTTCCCTTTTTTATAAGTCAGTTATAGCATCTAAAGATTTTTTTTTACTTCATAAGTCCCGATTTCATCTTTTACTGCTTAACAAATGAGGAAGTCATTTTCTGGGTTTGGTTGACCAAAAAAAAAATTCATCAAATAGGGGAAAATGACTTCTCTCGCTTTGGTGGATGGAAGTCATTTTTCTACAACTATTTATATTTTAAACTTCATATTACTTGCTTCAATTAATACTTAGACATCGTTATTTATCTGTAATAATTTATATTTATTCAGAAAAATATTTTCCACGAAAAATGACTTTTTACCAATACCAAACACACTCCCGTTTTTCATTATTTTCAGCTCAACAACATTCATGAGTTGCTTGTAATATAGTTTTCCATTATTTTATCATTCTTAGGTGGAGTTCGAATTTTGAACTATACCAATTGAGACTAGCTATAGTGACTCCCTATTTTCTTACTTTACTTTAGGCTGATTCTGAATTTCACTGGTTTTAAGACATCACTTGTGAAATTTTAGGAAGAAAGCCAAATTTTTTGTCTAATCTACTGCTTCGTATCATGTAACCTTAATTTAAGTTTGATTAATTTTGACAATGGTTTGTCCTTGTGGGTTTCTTTAAAGTATATCCTTTGTCTCAAATATTGCTTATGTTTTTTTTTTTTTTGGAAAATTCCCAGGAAACCCGCAACCACTAACTTTCGGATGCGCACTGGGTAAGCTGCTCACTGCGCAATAGCTTGCAAATCACACAGGAAATATAAACCACGAGTTCTGATTGAGGAGGTTGCTGGTGAGGAGAATCGATCCCAGGTATCCCATGTGGGAAACCACTCAGCCAACCCTTGCGAGCATTGTTTTTGGTTTGTTAGGATTATTATATAACAAAAGGAGGTTTATCTAGTAAAGCTACCTTCTAGCCTAACAAAAAAAAGTGGATTCTCGTGTTTCTTTAAAAAGAAATTCGATGATGACAGGTCTTGTTTTCTGTAGTATGAATTTTCTTTCTTGTCATTGTTCGTTATGTTATCTATGCTAATGGCGATTAGTTAATGGATAAGACATGGGTTGTATGTGTTAAAATATTGTTGTGGGGTTCATTCACTTAAGAAAAACTTTTTTTCTTTATTAGTTTCGGTGAAACACCTAAAGCCTTTATATCTTCAGTTTATCAATCATATAGATAAGCCAATATCTGCTCTAAGCAACCAGAATCCTTTTTGTTGTTATTTAGTGCACCTTATATTTGTATATTTAGAGAATATCATTATGTTCGCTATGTTTGTTGCACATTTTAGAATTGAACAAAGGATTAAGGTTTATCCAGTTTTCCAAAGAAAAGAAAAGGAAATTGTGCCGACCTCATAAAGCTAATAAAGAAAGAAGGGACAAAAGGAAAATGCAGATACATGGTGTTGAAACATCATTTTCGTTATGAATAAGTAAGTTGGAATGAAACAAAGAAGAGGGAAAAAATGCAAATAACTTTTTGCATTATTAATTCATGGATTCCCATAGAGATCAAGACCCTGGATTTTTTTATTCCAAATTTGTCTTCACTTCCAACATTATGCAATATTCCATCTGTATAGGCTGAGTAAAATGCTCAGCAAAAAGACAATGCTGTGGAGAGTCTCCTTGGTATATATATCAGTATTTGCTTCTTCAGTCTTCAACGTAGAGTGTCCTTGGTTTAGATTTCTCATCCTAAATTAAAGCTAAGTTTTCTGTGTTTTTCATTTCTCACCAGTTATGGCTTCTGCTTCATTTCTTTCAACAATCGGCAAAAGGTATGTTTCGCAGCCCTCGATCTCTCTAATATCAATGGAAGGATGAAAATGTGATCTCCTTTAATTCATAGAACATTCTTTGAGAAGTATCCTCTCTTATACTTATTTCAAAAGGCATTTGACAGTTTTTGTTATGGACCAACATGGATAAAATTTACTGTACTAAGGCTAATCTGGAAACTATTACTGTGACTTTGATTTTTACTCCTATTAAACCTACCATATGCTTAAGTATCATTGAGATCAACTTCTCCTGTTGCTCTTGAAACATCTTAAGCTGTTTTAGTAAAGGGGCATAAGATCTTGCTCTTTGCATCCAAAAAAGAGTTGCCATTTTTTGACGCTAGTATCCGATTAGTTTGCTCGCACCTCGACTGTTTCATTGTGTACCTGTTACGTACCTCCCACCAGTATAGGCATTGAATAACTCTGCCCACCACGGCTTAGGCATATGAGAAGAAATCCCTAGTATTTTTTGTCTCCGCTGGAATGTAAACATAACTTGCCATTATTACATTATTTAGGCAATCATTTTTTCTTTGACCATTATATTATCCAATTTTCTTTAAGATACTTTCAGCTATAGAAAGTTATGATTTAGAGTGTTTCCATACAGTTTCTGAATATGTAAATTTACTTAAACAAATTTGAGAATCAGTATTCGAATTTATGCTAAATATTAGATGAGTTTTGACCTCAAAATTTACTTGCCATTCATTTGGTAATTGAGACCAATATAACTTCCATGTTCTGTATATGAAGGCTAGAGGGGAAAGTTGCGATTGTAACCGGAGGAGCTAGTGGCATCGGTGAAGCAACTGCAAAGCTCTTCTCCGAACATGGAGCCAAAGTGGTCATTGCTGATGTACAAGATGAACGCAGCAACTCAGTTAGCAACGCCCTTGGAAGCCCATCACACTCCATTTACATTCATTGCGACGTGACAAATGAAGACCATGTCCAAAATGCCGTCGATAGAACCATCTCCACATTCGGAAAACTCGACATCATAATCTGTAATGCTGGCATATCCGACGAGACCAAGCCAAGAATCATCGACAACACGAAGGAAGATTTTGAACGGGTGCTCAGTATAAACGTGACAGGAGTTTTCTTGTGCATGAAGCATGCTGCTCGTGTCATGGTCCCGGCACGTAGCGGTTGCATCATTTCCACCGCCAGCGTAAGCTCCAGAGTCGGAGCTGCAGCATCACATGCATACTGCAGCTCCAAACACGCCGTGTTGGGGCTTACGAAGAATCTGGCGGTGGAGCTGGGGCAATTTGGTATACGAGTGAATTGTTTGTCGCCCTACGCGATGGTTACGCCATTGGCGACGAAGGTTGTGGGGCTTGAGAATGAAATGTTTGAGACGGCGTTGAGTATGGCTGGGAACCTTAAAGGAGCGATATTAAGGGTGGATGATGTTGCAAAAGCAGCACTGTTCTTGGCAGGTGAAGATTCTAAGTATATCAGTGGGCACAATTTATTCATTGATGGCGGATTCACTGTGTATAATCCATCACTAGGCATGTTCAAGTATCCAGAATCTTGATATAAGGATTTGCAGTTTGTTCTTGAAATAATGTTGCATAGCAGCTGCTAATTTAATTATTATGGGAATACAGACTTTTGATTTTAGAACTGATGATATTTATCATTACCTTTACAGAATGCAGCTGACATTCAATTGGACTTCTGACACCGAGATCCTTGTATTGCATTTTCAATTTTTGATTCTTTAAAGTGAAACATTTGTAAGTACTGCGCTGCAAACTGTATTACCTAATATCAGCATTTCTTTTAAAATGATGCAATTACAAAAAAATTGTAAAATTTAAAGCATTTTATATGAAAAAGGATGATGATTGGCGAAATGGAATGCGGAAGGAGTAGGGATTTTGTTTTGGCAAGGATGGCAGGAATTACAAAAAATATTGGGATTAAACTATGGTCAACTTTAAAGTGTTTCTAAGCAGAAATATAGTAAGTTGAGGGTTTACCAACTTAATTAGGGTTAGTTTGGTACATCGGATTAGAATAATAATTCCGGGATAAAATTTGAGATTAACTTTAATTATCCAATATTTGGTTTGGAGTATTAGCTAATCCCGAAATAACTTTTACACTAAAATGGTGGAATTAGCTATCCCATATAGAAGGTGGAATAACAAATTCCATGGGACAACCCACTACACGGGATATTATGGGAATTCCACCATTGTACCAAACGACCCCTTAGAGCTTTTATTAATAAACACTTTCAATGTTGATCAAACCCGGTATATAAATTAATTTATAAGCGTATATAAGCACCTCTATATCTTTTTTTTATATAAAAATAAAATTACGTCGTCTGGTGGCTCTGCCCTTTCATTCAGCCACAAAAACTACAAATAAAAGGAAGGGGATCAAGCACTCTTTATATCTGCTCTAAGGAATTAAAAGTTTCTTTATATTTTCTTTGTTTGTATTTAAAATCAATTATACAATAAAAGAGAAAAATATGGTAAAATACATACCTTAAATCCAGAATTTAATCATGAAGGAAATTCATGGAACAACTGACAATCATTATCCTCAATCCCAAAGCTTCTACTCAATTGGTTAGAGTCTCGTGCTGATAACGTGTTATGAACAATAAAAGAAGAAGAAGAATATTGCAGAGAAAAGTAGGGAGAGAGAATTCTTATTTGTGATGACCCAAAAGGTTATCACTTGTTTTAAAACGAAACCTCTGTGTTCTGAGGCCTTGAAAACCTCATTTAGAGTTACCTCGATTTGCGTGCGCAGTTCGGGCGCGTAGCCGGAAAAGCTTAAACATGATAATCTGTGAAAAATGATAAGTCTTGATTATAAAATGAGCTAATTTGACTTCGGTCAACGTTTTGGGTAAACGGACCCGGACCCGTGATTTGACGGTCCCGGAGGGTCCGTAGGAAAATATGGGACTTGGGCGTATGCCCGAAATCGAATTCCGAGGTCCCAAGCCCGAGAAATGAATTTTTAAGGGAAATTGTTTTCTCGAATTGTTTAAAGAAATTTGAAGTGAAATTTGATTAGAACATGATGGTATTGAGCCCGTATTTTGGTTCCGGCGCCCGGTACATATATGATTTAAGACATTTCTGTGGAATTTGGTGAAAAACGGATGTCATGTGACGTGATTCGGACTTAAATTGCAAAAATTATGTTTAAGGAAGTTTTGAGAAAATTTCATTGATCTCGAGATTTAATTTGATGTTCCTAAAGTTATTTTGATGATTTGATTACACGAGTAAGTCCATATGGTGTTTTTGAGTTAGTACGACATTTGGTTTGGAGCCCCGAGGGCTCGGGTGAGTTTCGGGATATTTTTACACTTAGGAAAAAGTTGCAGATTCAGAGAAGTTGCAGGTCTCTGAACCCAGGTCTCGCGGTCCGCGGTGGAAGCTTCGCGGCCGCGGTGGGATTTGTGCGGTCCGCGGTGAGCAAGGCCAAGCCTCCGTGGCCGCACTCGATTTCTTGCGGTCCGCGGTGGAGCTCCGCAGCCGTAGTCCTTTTTATGCGGTCCACGGAGAGGGTCTGAGAGGGGTATAAATAGACGAGATTTTCAGTTATTTTTCATTTTTCAAAACCCCAAAAACATAAGAGGTGATTTTTCAAACAACCTTTCTTCTCCAAATCAATTATAAGTCATTTTTAACTACTTTTCTTCAATCATTAACATCTTTTAACATGATTTTAACTTCAAATCAATGATTTTCATAGGGGAAATTGGGTGTTTTGGGTAAAACCTAAAGTTTTCAAAAAATTGGGGATTTGGACCTCGATTTGAGGTCCGATTTCAAAACAAATTACATAATTAAGCTCTTGGGGGAATGGGTAATCGGGTTTTGGTTCGAACCTCAGGTTTTGACCACGTGGGCCCGGGGGCAATTTTGACTTTTTGGGTAAAACTTTGGAAAACTCATTTTCATGCATTCAAAAATTGATTCATTTAACGTTTATTGATGTAATTAAGTAAATTGTGGCTAATACGAGCGGATTGGTGGTGAAATCAAAAGGTAAAGCTATAGTTGAAACTTGAATTGTGTTCGAGGCATCGAGGTAAGTGTTTGCTCTAACCTTAGCTTGAGGGATTAGGAGTTGTGTCCTATTTACTATTTGCTTCTTGTCGAGTACGACGTATAGGCATGGTGACGAGTATCTATACGTTGGTGTCAAGCATGACTGTGAGTCTTATATTGTGATTTTCATGATTTCGTTGTATTATTCATGCCTTGGTGAAGATTTCTAATTGTTGTATAAAGTTTGTGGAAAGGATTGTGACTTATGAACATTGATGAGCCTTGGCTCAAGTTGTATAGCGAAATTGTGAAAGTATAAGTGAAAATTGAACTTCTAGAGCATTTGCTTGAGTTGTGAAAGTATAAGTGATAATAGAACCTCTAGAGCATTGGCTCGAGTTGTGAAGTGAATTGTGAAGTAAATTTGAGAAAGAGAAGAGATCATTATGTCGTCACCCTTGCCGGGCTATTGTTGATTTAATTGTTGTTCCCTTGCCGGGATTTAATTGTTTAATTGTTGTTCCCTTGCCGGGATTTAATTGTTTAACTATTGTTCCCTTGCCGAGATCTCTATTACTATTTTGTTTATTCCCTTGCCCCTTTGCTTGTGATTGTTGTTTGGGTAAGAAAGAGTGTTAAAGCACGAAGGGTGATGCCGTGCATTGTTTGTTATTATGAGGAAGAGTGTTAAAGCACTAAGGGTGATGTCGTGCATTGTTTGTTATTATGAGGAAAGAGTGTAAAGCACAAAGGCTGATGCCATGCCGCACGACGTACCATTCTGTGCCGATTCTATTGATTATATGGTGAGGAAAGAGAGTAAAAGCAAGAAGGTTTATGTCGTGCACATTTTGATTATATGATTGTTTTGGTAAGGTCGAGAGTAAAAGCACGAAGGGTGATGCCGTGCACATTTTTATTATATAACTGCTTTGGTGAGGCTGATAGTAAAAGCACGAAGGGTGATGTCGTGCAATTGTTGATTTCTGCTTCCTTATTGATATTTTAGTTATGTTGTTTCTTTCCTTACTTGATGCCTATCTATTCAGAACTATTATCTTCCCCACAGCATGTTTTCCCCTCCCATATTGACTAGTTCTTTCTGTATTTCTTTTCCGCTGTATGTGTATATGAACTGCACAGGTTTATGTGGTGGTCTGGTCCTAGCCTCGTCACTACTTCGCAGAGGTTGTGCTGATATTACACTCTGCACTGTGTGCAGATCCAGGAGTAGCTTACGGACAGTAGTTGGAGTGATTCCTTCAGTCCACCCGGAGACCCAAGGTAGACCTGCAGGCATCCGCAGGCCCTGACATCTCCCTCTATCTCTATTTCCTATTTCATTTCCTTTGTTCAGAGACAGTGTATTGTATTTCTTCAGACCTTGCATGTAGTGACTCTTAGACAGTCTGTGACATTGTGATACCAGGTTTTGGGTATTTGAGGTTTTAAAAGTTGTAATAGACGTAGCCTTAAGATACGTAATTGTTGACTTCCACTTATTTATTTAAAATCCCGCTTTTATCATATTATCGACTTGTGTTTGTTAAAAAGAAGCAAAAATGGAAGTGTAGCAAGTAGTTAAGGTTTGGCTTGCCTAGCTTCCATTAGTAGGCGCCATCACGACTCCTGAGGGTGGAAAATCCGGGTCGTGACAAGTTGGTATCAGAGCTCTAGGTTACATAGGTCTCACAGTTCACAAACAAGCTTAGTAGAATCTGAGGGATCGGTACGGAGACGTCTGTATTTATCCCCCAGAGGCTACAGAGTTAGGATAAACTTCACATTTGTTCTTTCTCGTCGTGCAGTTTTGTTTCTCAATGCTAATTGAACTTCTACTTTGTTCTATCGCAGATGGCGAGAACACGCGCTTCCTCATCCTCCGCTCAGCAGCCCGAGCCCCCAGTAGCCGCTCCCACGAGGGGCAGAGGGCGAGGCCGAGGCCGTGCTAGAGGCCGAGGCAAGGGCAGAGCTCAGCCTAGGGCAATAACACCCATAGCAGAGCCTCATGTTGGNCTATCCCGCCGTATTGTATGGCCCCGCCGGAGTTGAAGGAACAGTTGCAAGACTTGCTTGAGAAGGGTTTTATTAGACCTAGTGTTTCGCCTTGGGGTGCGCCGGTGTTGTTTGTTAAGAAGAAGGACGGATCGATGAGAATGTGTATTGATTACCGACAGTTGAACAAGGTTACAATCAAGAATAAGTATCTATTGCCGAGGATCGATGATTTGTTTGATCAGCTTCAGGGTGCCAAGGTGTTTTCAAAGATTGATTTGAGATCTGGTTACCATCAGTTGAGGATTAGGGCATTCGATGTCCCTAAGACAACTTTCCGCACTCGGTACAGGCATTATGAGTTCCTGGTCATGCCATTTGGGTTGACCAATGCTCCAGCAGCTTTTATGGATTTGATGAACCGAGTGTTCAGTCCTTATTTGGATTCGTTCGTGATAGTCTTCATTGACGATATTTTGATATATTCCCGCAGCCGGGAGGATCACGAGCAACATCTTAGGGTGGTTCTTCAGACCTTGAGGAATAGTCAGTTATATGCTAAATTCTCGAAGTGTGAGTTCTGGTTGAGTTCAGTTGCATTCCTGGGTCATGTTGTGTCAGCAGATGGTATTCAAGTTGATCCGAAGAAGATTGAGGC